GTGATTGAAATGGTGGTCCCCGCTTGACAGTGATTAACAGTCCAGTCCCCCCTCTGGCACTCAGCTGGACCTCATTGCCAACCAGGGAGCGCCCTCGGAGTGCAACAGGGGGCTCCGCGACAGAAAGGTTCCACTGTCAAGCTAGACCTCTCCGCAATTTCCATCCATACCCTCGGGGGCGAACTGAGGGAGGGCAACACCTTCAGTCAGACCCCCAGTTTAATCCCTGCTACATTGGGATTGTAGGAGAGGGGAAGGGGACATCTCGCACGCCGGTGACAACCCACGGGGTCGGCGACGCTTGGTCGATCGCGGAAGACATACACGTCACCGTCAGTGAGTGGTCGGTGGCATGGCTTTGACACGCATGCGGCCGAGCACCTGGGCCTGTCTCGAAGCTATTATGGGTCCATGTTGGGACGTTCTCCAGGGTCATCTTGGGCTCTCTCCTGGGGCATCTTGAAGCCATCTGTGCGTCCCTCGAGGGCTCTGGATGCCGTTTTAGGTGGCAGTGGGGCTGTCTGAGAGAGTGTTTGGGCTGCTTGGGGGCCATTTCGGAGCCCCCTTGGGGCCGTCTTGGAGACCAGATGGGGTCTCTGGGTCTATATTCGTTGCCTCTTGGGCCGCGTGGAGGTATTCGTTGGGCCTCGTAGATTCTCTCGGAGGCCTTACGAGCCCTCCCCAGCTCCATCTGAACCCAATAAGTGAGAAACCTCACGGTACACAAAAGCACAATGGGCTCATCGTGGAGCATCTTGTGTCCTCTGGAGGCCATCTTGGACCATTGCTGAGGCCCCTTGGGCTTTCGGTGCGTTCCACTGCAGAACAACCGGGTACTTGGCGTCGAAAGCTCTCCCACCCACCGTCCTCCGTAGTTCTTTATGTACTTTTCTTCACCATGCCCATACGTTGGTACCCTCGAGGCTTTAATCATGTGGGATTGTCAACCGTCCTATACCCATTTGGTGCTTTATGCCCCCTCTACCTCAATGTACGGCTAGCTTTGGTAAACCCACCACGTAGGAGTTCTAGTGTCCCCCACCACGTGGGGGTGTTGTCCAGAAGCTGATGTCCTTCAAATTGCTCAGAGACTTCAGATCGACCGTGAGGCGTCACCAGTGTTGCAGTTTTTGGAGCGAGAACCACGCTGGAATAATTCAGCCTGAGAACGGGATCCATTGAGTTCCGTGTCGCACAGCAGACCAAAATACTGCTCTATGCGACAGGGTGAATTCGTGACCTCTGTTCCGCTGTGAGCCAGGGTGGCTGCACGACGATAACGTTGCTGAATATTACAATTGCTGGGGACAGCAGAGCCAGAGCGACCCCCCAGTTCAATCTCTCCAACACTGTCGTGTACGCAGGAGCACAGGCAAACACACACACACACACTTGTTTGGCGTCGGCGGCTAGGCGGACTGACTGCGCGGGCGGAAGAGGGAAACACACACAAACACTTTTTGGCGTCGCGGCCCCGTGCGCAGCAACAGGGCTCACAAAGGTCAGATAAGAGCGCACGCGCGCGCGCCTGGAGGAAGAGAAGGAAGGGGAACAAAAGAAGAGGAGGAGCAGGAGGAGGAACAGGGAGCATAATGCCAAAATGGCAGAGTATTCTATTCAGGCCAAGGGGGGATTCACGAATCCCCCCTCACGGCGTGAAGCCAATTATGCTTGCGAAACCAGCATGCTGCAGAGACGCGGCGCCACGAGAGAGAGCTCCAGGCGCCAAAAAGGCTCAACCCCCGTGGTAGGGACGACCCTGAAGGAGGCGGAGAAAGGGGGGGGAAAGAGCGAGCAAAGCAGAGGCAGGAGAGGAGCCCGGAAAGACGACGGCGGGGGACCCCACGACACGGCCGAGCCCACGACCGCCGACGACAGCGACCGAGCGAACCCCGCGACCCACGAGGAGGAAGAGGGGACCGACGAGCCATCACGGGGGGGAGCGCCGCTGGAGGGTGGCAGGAAAACCACGCCCACCCCGGACAGAAGACAGAACTCCACAGGGGCCTGGGGCTGGGAGCGGCGGGAGCAAGGGCAAGTGGAAGACGGCAGAACCAAAGGCGACAGGGGGGAGAACCAGCTGCCCGACCCTGGTCACTGCGGGGCCGCAGCCAATGCAGGCCCCCCACCTCGAGAGACGGGGGAGCGGCCGCATGTCGGAGATGCACTCGTGAACCCGCCGCAGCCGCACCGGCATCGCAGGCGGGCGAAAGAAAGGCTGGAGGACTGCAGGCAAGCGATCCGCTTCCTCGACGGACGGCGGTGGGCGGGCCCCGGGAGTGGGAGGCGCGCGGCCCGAGTCAGGCGAGACGCGGGGTGCTGGAGCTGGCTGCATGATGCCGCCGTCACTGCACGGCGGGTCGCATGCGAGCCGCCGCGGGCCCAGTGCGCGCCGGGTCCGACATGCTGCTCAGCAAAACCGGGGGCGCGGGCGCAAGCCGGAGCTGCGCAAGAGGGGGGGCGACGGGCGAGGCGCCAGGGGAGTCCAGCGCGCCGAGGTGGACGGGAGGGCTGGCTCGAGTTGGCGCCGCCCCGGCCGACCGCGCCCCGACCTCGCGTCCGCCGAGCGCCAGGCGGGGTAGGGCTGGAGTGGCAGGCCGAGAACATTGGTGTTCCTCTTCGGGCACGAGTCCAGCAAGTCCTCAAGGTCCTTGGGACCGGGGGGGGTCCAACCAGAGGTAGTGATCCCAATGCCCGCGGCAGCAGTCTCTTGGGTGCCCAAGAGCGCCTGAGTGTGCCGGGAATGCGAGTTGGCCGCCACGCCGGCGGAACCGACGGTCGCAGGCGCGCGGCAGGGTTGGCGAGCCCCGATGGCGGTCTGCTCGTCGCGCAGCGCCGGCGCAGCCACGGGGAGGCTGGCGACGAGGGCCGCGGCGGTCCCGAGGCCGCCACCAGCCAGAGATCCCAGGGGCCCTCCGAGAGTCGCCGGAGGGTATTCCGTACAGTCAATCTACATATTGCAATGGCCTCCGGCCAGTGCCGCCGATCTGGGGGGATTCGGTGATCTTCGCGGCTCTGTGGCCTTCTCCCTCCTCGATTCGTACGGTCCTCTTTCTTCTCTTCTGTGGGGGTGCCTGGAGCGGTCCCGGTTGGGGTCCAGGGAGTTATCCGAGAGGAGGGTCCTGGGGGCGGTAGCGGCTAGATCTGAGGGGGTCCCTGGGACCCCCCGAAACATTTTGGGGATGCGCAAACCATTAAGAAAACGCCAGATGGGGGACCGAGGGGCCCTCCGAGAGTCGCCGGAGGGAATTCCGCACAGGCAATCCACCTATCAAGGGTGGGCAACCTTCCTAAGGGTACCCTTGCATCCTTGCCTACTCGGTCCAGCTTTGGCCACTTTCGTCGGCCAGCCTCGTTCGAAAAACGTTCACATGGCCGGCCAAGGCCCCTGCATCCTTACAGCACCGCGCATCCCTATGATACGAGCTGAGTGTAGCCGGTCTCACGTGAAAACCCGCCTCCTCGGGGTGGGGAGCCCCATGGGTGACAGGCCCGCCGGGGAGGACCGCAGCACCCCGACACGGCGGCGGCCCGCGGAGGCTCGTAAAGATTGTGCCCGGGTCCCGAGGGGCCAGTGTGTTGGGCCCCTGGCGGCCGCGCCCAGCTGGTGGCGGAAGCGGAGCTCCCAGCTGGGGGAGATCCGATGGGACCCCGCGCGAGTCGTCTGGCGAGGCGCGGCCCCAGGGGGGCTCTGGGAGCTGGCGCTGGCTGCCGCGGGAGCCGAAAGCGCCGTGCCGCGGGGGGTGAGGGAGCCCCCTGAGCGACGCAAGCGTCGGGCAAGCCCGAGGCGCCGTGGGCAAACGGGTCGACCCCCAGAGGGTCTGGATCCCTTCCCCGGGAACCGTTTCCCATCCCGAGTGCGCGCGCGCTCCCCCTGCCCAGGGGGTCCCAAGCGCGCGCTGCGCGGTCCAGCGGGGGGCCCCGAGCCCAGGGCGAGGGCCCGTCAAGCAGGGGGGGGGGACCTCCGACGGCTTGGGCCAGAGGCTACGGTGCACACGGTGGAAGTGCGAGCTGCGGTCGAGCATCGTCAAAGGCACAGTGTACAAAATGTAAACACTGTCAATACGGTGCACACGGTGCACACGGTGCACACACACACACACACACACACACACACACACTTTTTGGCGTCGCGGTTCCGCGCGCGGCGACGGGACGTAGAAAGTCGAGTACAAGCGGCGGAATGCGAGCGTCTACGTTCGGCCGAGCTCTCAGAGACCACTTCACACACACACACACACACACACACACACACACACACACACACACACACACACACACTTTGTTTGGTTTGTTTGATTGGTTGGTTGCTTGTTTGTTTGTGTGTGTGTTTGATTGCTTGATTGCTTGCTTGCTTGTTTGTTTGTTTGTGTGTGCTGTTGTGTGTTGTTTTGTTTACTTAATCGCTTCGCTCATTCCGCCGGCCCATACAGTCTCATGTCTGCCGTTTGCCCGAGGGCCTGGTGTCAATGCGGCGCTTTGGGGGTTCCTGGGGCCGCTTGGGGGACTCCTGGGGCGCTCGGGGGGGCATTTGGGGGGCCTCCTGGGGCCGCTTGGGGGACTCTTGGGGGCCTCCTGAGGGCCTCGTGGGGGCCTCTTGGGGCCTCTTAGGGGCCTCTTGGGGCCTCGTAGGGGCTTCTTAGGGCCGAGGGCTCGAAATGTTGTTTCGTGTTCCCTCTCTGGGGCCCCTTTGGGGGCGTTCTTGGGGCCCTGTGTGTGCTGTTGTGTGTTGTTTTGTTTATTTGAGTGGTTTGTTTGTTTGTCTGTTTGTTTGTGTGTGCTTGCTTGTTTGCTTGGTTGGTTGGTTGGTCGGTCGGCTGTTTGTTTGTTTGTTTGTTTGTTTGTGTGTTTGTTTGTTTGTGTGTTGGGCATCGCGCGCAGCGACGCGGCGTAGAAGGTCAAACAGAGGGAGAGAGAGAGAGAGAGAGAGCGACAGAAGCGACACACACACACACACGAGCGCCATCGCCGTTCTGCCTCAAGCCGCGCCCGGGCTCGAGCTGGTTGCGGCGCGGGTTCACCCCGGTGGCCGGCGCCGTCGCCCGCTCGGCCCCTCTCGCTGGAGCTGCTTCCCCTGCGCCGGCGCGCCGGCGGGGTTCCGGGCGGCGCCTGGCGGCACCGCTGGCGCAGCCGCAGTATGCCCCTCGAGCACTCCCAGCTCGACGCGACCAGCGCGCGGGAGCTGCAGCAGTCGCTCGAGGCGTTCAGGGCGGAGTTCGAAGCTCTGCTGGAGGCCCGCAAGCGGGCCCGCCGCAGCGGCCGCCGGCTGCTGGAGTTCGTTCTCCGGTCGGGGGGCCTGGGCCTGGCCGCGTCGGCGGCGGCGCCGCCGCCTTCGCGGAGCGGCGAACCAGCCGTGGCCTCCGCGTCGGAGCAGGAGCCCGCTGCCCCGCCAGCGACGCCAGAGGCTCCCAGCCCGCAGAGCGCATCGACGGCTCGCCCCGCAGGGGCTGCGGGGCCAGCGGAGGCCCTCCAGCCGGCCACGGTCCCGCGGAGGGTGGGCATCACAGGCGTCGGCAGGCTCGGCGAGGACTCCCCCCTCGGGAACGGCCGCCGTGGAGAGCGCGCCTTCCTGGAAGAGCTCGGCGGGGAGGAGGTCCTGCGGGACCTGATCGTGGAATTCGCGGCGCGCCACGGGCCCAGGGAGCAGGGCAAGGCCACGTCCTCGGGCCGCGGGTTAGGCCTTGGCCTAGGCGTGCCCACTCTTATACAGAGGGAAGCAGTGCAGGAGCTCTGGGTTGACCAGGCAGGGCAGGACAATGCGAGCGTCACATGCCTCTACTTGGTTGGGGCAGACACGGCGTCCTCGCGGCTCGACACCCGCCAGTTCGAATTGGCCCGCCAGGGTGATCTGTGGGCAGTGCAGTGCATGCGGGAGCCCGACGCAAAAACAACGGTATTGGACGAGTGCGAGAGGTCTGTCGCTTGGTGCATGTCGCCGCAGACACCACCGAGGCTAGCATCGGGCAGCGGCTCTCCCGTGCCGCCCGTGGTAGCTAAAGCAGACTTGCGGGAGCCCTGGAATCCACCAGTCGTCACGGTTACGGCGGCGAAGCCGAGCTTGAAGAGGCCACCTCCGCCTTTGATGGAGCATCTTTGCGAGGAGCCAGAGGGCAGGGAGCTGCCGCGCACTGCCGAGGGCAAGGAGGCAGATGCGGGCGGGCTCGACGAAGCGCTGCGATTTGGCCTCGCAGTCTCTGAGGCAGCGAGTACGCCAAGGGCAGTCTTTGACAGTTTCGCAACTGGCAAGGTGATCTCCAGGGTCAGCTTCGCGTTGCTGGTGGCAAGCTACGGCGGCAGAAGTCCTGCGCTGGAAGGCGACGACGGGCCTGCCGGCGACCTCTTCGACCAGCTTGCCGTGCCGACGTCGTACACTTGCGGGAGGGACTCGGGTATCCCGTACGAGTTGTTCTGCTCGGAGTTGTGCCCAGAGGCCGAGCCGGACACTGTGAGACACGTGTCCAGTATGAGAGAGGATTTGCTCAAGAGCTTGAGGCGGACGGCCTCGCAGCTGGGGCAGGACCCGCCGCGGGTCGCGAGGGTGGGGTCCACTGGGCGCCTGGGCGCCATCCTGGAGCACGACCCGACAGATGCGACACTGACGTACAAGCTGAGCTTCCCAGATGGCTCCACCGACTGGTTCGCGCAGGGACGGGCGCAGGCCGTGACGACTGCCGAGGGCGCCGTGCAGGACCGCCGCGGCGGCCTCCCCTTGCAGGAGGCGGACTTCTGGGACCTGGCCTGGAGCATGCTCGGCGCCCTGTCGGACGGGCCGCCCGACCCTGTGGCAGTGAAGGCGCTCTGGCGTGAGCTCACGCAGGGTGTGCAGCCCCGGCGGATCGAGCGGAGCGCCTTGCTGCAGCTGCTTGCCGACGAGGGACGCCCATCGCCAGCCGCCGACGCGGGCGAGCGGGCGCAGGACGGCGAGCTCTCTGCGGAGACGTTGGAGGTGGAGGCGCGGGCCAGGGAGGCGGAGGCCTTGGCTGATCGGTACGCCCAGGAGCGCGCGCAGAGGAAGGCCGCAGAGAGGGCCGCGGCCGCCGCGGAGGCTGGTCCGCGGCAGCCAGCCCAAGACGAGGGCTGGCTCGTCGAGTCGTTGCGGTCTGGGCTCGCACTCTCTGTTTCGACGGGAACACCGAGAACAGTCTTCGAGACCTTCGCCACTGGCTCCGGCCAGGGCGCACTGATCTCCAGGGTCAGCTTCGCGTTGCTGGTGGCAAGCTACGGCGGCAGAAGTCCTGCGCTGGAAGGCGACGACGGGCCTGCCGGCGACCTCTTCGACCAGCTTGCCGTGCCGACGTCGTACACTTGCGGGAGGGACTCGGGTATCCCGTACGAGTTGTTCTGCTCGGAGTTGTGCCCAGAGGCCGAGCCGGACACTGTGAGACACGTGTCCAGTATGAGAGAGGATTTGCTCAAGAGCTTGAGGCGGACGGCCTCGCAGCTGGGGCAGGACCCGCCGCGGGTCGCGAGGGTGGGGTCCACTGGGCGCCTGGGCGCCATCCTGGAGCACGACCCGACAGATGCGACACTGACGTACAAGCTGAGCTTCCCGGATGGCTCCACCGACTGGTTCGCGCAGGGACGGGCGCAGGCCGTGACGACTGCCGAGGGCGCCGTGCAGGACCGCCGCGGCGGCCTCCCCTTGCAGGAGGCGGACTTTTGGGACCTGGCCTGGAGCATGCTCGGCGCCCTGTCGGACGGGCCGCCCAACCCGGTGGCAGTGAAGGCGCTCTGGCGTGAGCTCACGCAGGGTGTGCAGCCCCGGCGGATCGAGCGGAGCGCCTTGCTGCAGCTGCTTGCCGACGAGGGACGCCCATCGCCAGCCGCCGACGCGGGCGAGCGGGCGCAGGACGGCGAGCTCTCTGCGGAGACGTTGGAGGTGGAGGCGCGGGCCAGGGAGGCGGAGGCCTTGGCTGATCGGTACGCCCAGGAGCGCGCGCAGAGGAAGGCCGCAGAGAGGGCCGCGGCCGCCGCGGAGGCTGGTCGAGACGCGGGCGTAGAGCCAGGCTGCCAGGTCGGAGCCGCCACGGCGAGGCCGACGTTAGATGCAGTGGAGGATATAGACGCGTCGCTGCACTCTGGCATGAGCGAGAGCGCCATTATCATCGAGGACATACCGACCCCTTTGGCCAATTTTGGCCTCAGTGTGGAAGACCTCATAGCTGGCTCCCCGCAGACTCAGCCTGCCGCAACTGCGCCGGCTGTATTGCCAGCGCGACCAATGCGCAAGTTGGAGGGCAAGTCCCCGCTGCACCGTCCGAAAGACCTCGGTGCTGTTTTCGAGGACGCCGACGCCGACGGCGACGGCGCGCTGGGTTTAGCGGACTTGCGAAAGTACCTCGGAGATTTCCTTGGATACGGCGACGCGGAGATCGTCGCCTTCCACCAGGCCCAGGGCGGTGCATCAGGCGTGACCCTGGAGGCATTCAAGCAGGGCATTAGGGGGGACCTCAACCCATACGCCATGTCGAAGCGCAAGGACTGCGTGCTCTTGCGCAAGCCCGGGGCCTTCGGGGGCATGAGTGGTGTAGATTTTCAAGTGGAGGAGTGCAGCGGCTGCACCATTCTGATCTGTGATCGGACAGGCCAGGTATTCAATCGCTTCGCTCACTCCGGCGGTCCACCTTGCAGCTTAGTAGCTATCTGTCAGTGTGCTGGTGGCGAGCAAGAAGGAGGAGGAGGACGAGGAGGAGGAAGAGGAGGAGGAGGAGGAGGCGGAGGCGGGAGGAGGAGGAGAAGGAGGAGGAGGAGGAGGCGGAGGAGGAGGAGGAACAGGAGGCGGCGGAGGAGGAGGAGGAGGAGAAGGAGGAGGAGGAGAAGGCGACGACGACGAGGAGGAGAGGGACGAGGATAGAGTGGAGGTTTTTGTTCCTCAGCAATCCCTGAGGGCAGGACCTGTGCTAACAGTTCAGCTGCTGTGGGCGGCAGAAGCCACCGACCTGGCAGCCGCCTCCCACTCCTGGACACGTGCTAGGAGCGCTTGCATGCCTGATGTTTGAGGCAGGGCCTCCAACCCTCGTGGGGGCTGTGTGACCTCGGGCGGCGGAAGAGTGGCAGCGTACTGCACATCAGCTGCACCACGACGTGAACATTGGTTTAATCGAACACCCTCCTCATGGGTGTGCAGCCCAGCATATATGCGACGAAGTGTCGTCGGGGCCCCCGAAACCTTACGCAACGAGCAGTCCCTGACGAGAAGAAACAATGGCGCTGTGTGTAAGCGCCGCACGTCGTACAAAAATAAACCCTCGATGCCACATAATCATGTGTGACACGGATGCGGACCAAAGTCTGGCCTTTGTTGATATCAAGAACTCCTTACGAGGTCTTATTGGGCCCAGTACATCCTATCATGGGTCTGGTCTCGGGATCCTTCCAAAGGACCAGACATCTGAGGCAGCGCACTCTACCCTCTTCAAGGGTTTCCCAGTGGTGCCAACCCCCAGGCTTAAGGAAACGGGCCGTTGGGTCCAGGGGGTGCTCTTTTCAAAATTCTCCGAGGGAAACGCACACAAAAATTCGGCTGTAACCTTGGCCGCGAATTTGAGCTTCACAAGCATCCACTCGATACGATCACGCTCGGAAGGGGGAGGCTTGGGGTAGAGGGACAGGGCATACTTGGCAAGGCAGTCCGCACTCCAATTACCGATTGCAATCCTTTCCGCCACGGGAAGGGTGTCAATGGTCTCTCACTGGACCTGCGAGCGGGGTGTGTGTGTGTGTCACCATAATTGTATTGACGCCTATCATGAAAGGTCGCACCTCTCCTCATGCCCGCATATCTTTGCTTGCGGGCAGTATGGCGCGAGTCGCTGGTCTGGAAGAGCTTGACGACTGCCATGCAGTCCGAGAACATGCGCTTGAAAATTCGACAGAGATCGGCAAGCACGCCATCGCTTGGTGCTCGGCCGCCTGCGGTGTCTGAGGAAGCACATCCCACACCGCTCCTGTGGCGCAGGCAGCAATCATCTTCATCAGGTCCAAGGGGAACCAGGAAGACGAGGCGCGACTGATTTCGATCACCACGTGTCGTAAACAAGTTCCTTCCATGCACTCATCACAACCCTTGAGGTCGAAGGTTCCCCACTCAACTGGTTCTCTTTGGGTGTTGAACAAGGTGGGGTTGGGGTCTTGGGAAGGAGGGGGGTGCTAGGCTTCAGAGTTGTTTCATACTGAAGTCCATCCCACAAGAAACGCTCCTTACTGGTAGCAGCTTCCTGCAGCAACTCGGAAAGGTCGCCGACAGCTTCAGCACGCGCAGCACTGGCGTCAGCGTGCTTGCATAACCATACTCGGTGCTTGTTGCTGTCGGGCTCGCCACACGACGGGCACCTGCCGTCGCCATGATATTCTGCAGACCTCGCACGCGCGCGGGCCCAGATACCCCCACAGAAGGTAGATATAGCCATGTACTGTTCCCGAGGAGTCAAGACTTTGGCCCTACAAGACTCGTAAAAAATGCGTTGACCGTTTTTGTTTTCGGCGCTTGCGCAATCGGCGCTACTTCAATGCTAGCATGAAGCGCTCGCTTGGCCCACACGCAGGGGTGTCCGAAATTCGGCAGTGCCCTCGCAGCACTGAAGAGCACGTTTCTGACAAGTGCCCGAACGATCGGACGCTTCAATTCTGAACGGTGTTTCGATATATTTTTGACGGGGTTTGTAGGTCCCGAGGTTTGAAAGAGCGCCTTCTGCCGTTACCGGCACGCACCCCCGCCCGAGCGCGCGTGCGGACTGCATTTGCAGCGCTGCGACGAAAAAGTTCGTCCTCCGACCCGAGTGTGAGCTTCCAGCTTCCTAGGAGTCCCTTCTGATGTCGGGCAGAGGGGGGGGGCTCGGCGCCCCCCATTGGAGACTTCTTGTGAGCCTCCCGGGATCTCTTGGGAACCTCTTGGCCCCCTCCCCTGTTAGAACCGGGGAGGGGATGGGGGGGAGGGGACAACGACGACGACGACGCCGACGCCGACGCCGACGCCGACGCACGCGCAGACAGAAGACGACGACGACGACGACGATGACGACGACGACGACGCCGACGCCGACGCCGACGCCATCGCCGACGCCATCGCCGACGCCGACGCCGACGTGGACGCCGACGACGACGACGACGACGTCGACGGCGACGACGACGACGACGACGACGGCGACGACGCCGACGACCACGACGACGACGACGACGACGACGACGACGACACCGACAGAAGACGACCACGACGACGACGCCGACGCCGGGGCCGATGCCGATGCCGACGCCGACGGAAGACGACCACCACGACGTCGACGACGACGGCGACGACGACGGACGACGACCACGACGACGGCGCCGCAGACGCCGACGCCGACGCCGACGCAGACGCAGTCGCAGTCGGGAGAAGACGACGACGACGACGACGACGACGACGACGAACCGCTCGACACCCACATGGGGAGGGCTGGGGCATCGGCAGCCGCCACCACGCCACGCCCACAGGGCCACGACCACAGTGGGGGTCGGGAGCGATCCCATTCGCGAGGCGCTGCGACCTTGGTCTCGGAAAGCTTTCAGCGTGAGCAGCGGAACGTTCACCCTAGCCCACGCTACGCCAACAGGCCCACGACCACAGAGGGCGGGGGTGCGACCCCATTCGCGAGGCCTTCGCGAGGCTCACGGGCGTACCCATCCAGCGGGGGGAGGGGGGCCTGATCCCATTGGCGCGTGGGGGGGGGGGGGGCAGACTTGGATCATATATCTTGCTTGTTCCTCCTTGGCGGGGGAGATAATGCCTCTACTTGCGAAGAGCCTGGTGTCTCGTGTGCAGATTATCAAACCTAGCCGCACGCTTCCACATAGCACGTCTACAAGATCTCCTCTGACCTGGGGCCAAGACGGTGCCCAAGCTAACCGTGTGTATTATTGGTAATTGATCCCGCCATTTCTCCGAAAAGCGAGCCTAGCTTTCGAGCCAAAGGTAGGGAACCCCCGAACGTGGTCACCATGTCAGCCTGCAGGCCGACCTGCAATTCATCCCGAAAGTCATGTGTTGCAAAAAATGCTGGCACACGCTTACACCATCTGAGACAAGGCGACCTCCTCAGTCTCAGCTTCGATGGTCAACGCGCCATCGCCCAGGTAAGACGACAGGAAGGCACGATGGTTCTGGATAGCCGATCGAAGGCCCCGATGCCGCACACCCTGGCGAACGTGTCATTAAGAATGTCTCCAGCAGGGGGTCCTGATCGCAAAATGCGAGATCGTACCGTGCATACTGCCGAGCCTGAGAATACGAGAATCTCTCCAAATCTTAGCCAGCGTGGGCCCCAAACTGCATGTATGTGTTCTAGTAAGCTATATGGTGCAATAAATGTGGTGCAATTAATTTCTGTTCGCAGTGAGTTGTCCACTCCACTGCTCGCGCAAACATCAGACCCACCCACCCGCAACTTGGTTTGCAAAACCTCTTAAGACCGTGACGGTGGGTACCAAATGGCACTTGGCAACGGCACCGACGACGACAGCGACAA